GGAAAAGGCCAACAGAGTGGCACCGGTGCTGGCAAAGGCCAGCGTCTTTGCTTCTACTGCCAGAAGCCGGGGCATACAAAGGACGTGTGCCGAAAGAGGCTCTCTGACCTGAAGAAGGCCGAAGGCAGTGGAAAAGGTAGACCTGCAGCAGGGGCACCTGAAAGCANNTTGGTTGACACAGGCGCAGGTGGAGGCATAGCTCCCAGAGGCTTTGACCCCCAAGCCAAAGCAGCCCTAGGAGAAGCAATCAGCATGAGAACCGTGACGGGTGAAGCGTTGAACCTAGGACCTCGTAGGACCTCGCATCTTCAGCATGGCAGCACGCANNGTGAACTTTAGCTACAGGGAAAGTGACGTGAAGTTTCCTGTTATCTCTATGTCGGAGGCTAGCAGGCAAGGCACCTGGTTGGTTGTGGGCCCTGAGACGCATTGCTTGTTGTCAAGTGAGGCAGGTGAGCGTCTTAAGGAAAAGTTGGTGGAACTTCCCAGGATCCCTCTTGTCAAGGATAAGGGTGTGTACTGGCTAGATGTAGAAAGAAGCCCGAAGCAGAAGGCCACCGAAACCTTAGCAGCCCCAAACCCGAAAGCAGCGAGACCGGTGGAAGCGGAAACAAGCTCCCCGAATCCGGTGGAAGCGGAAGCAAGCTCCCCGGATGCACCTCAGGCAGAAGAGGCGGATGCGGAACCGCTTGGCGACGCTCCCCTGCAGGAGGACTTGGAGCCAGAGGGTGAAGCCGGTAGGAAGGCTAAGGCTAAGAGGGTTCCCCCTAGTGTAAGCGCTGAGCTTAGGGCGGAACATGAACTTACTCATTTGCCGTTTCGCAATTGGTGTGAGTCTTGTGTAAAGGGCAAGGGCACTGAAGACTTTCACAGGCGTAGGGAGGAAGAAAAGAAGGAAGACGTAGCTAGGTACTGCATAGACTACTGTTTCTTCACGAAAGCCCTAGCCCAGGACAACGCAGTTTCAAGGTTTGCTGACCTGAGAGAGGCCCAACCTGAGTCCAAGACCGTTTTGGTTTGTAGGGATCAGAAGTCAGGGGCTCTGTTCACGGGTGTTGCCAACAGCAAGGGCGCTGAAGACGCGTACTCGACGGCTTTTGCTCTAGAAGGGCTTAAGTTCTGTGGGCACCCAGACGTGTTGGTTGTGAGTGACACTGAGCGTTCTATCAGGTCAGTAGCAGATCTTCTGGTTAGGAAGTACCCCAAGAAGGCCACGGCGCAGCCAGCTCCCAAGGGCGACTCCCAGGCCAATGGCGCCGCAGAGCGCGCAGTTCTGGAACTTGGCAATCAGGTTAGAACCCTTAAGGTTGCTTTTGAAGCAAGGTATCCCGGGGTTAAGGTCACGGAGGATTCCCTGATTTTTCCTTGGATGGTCCGCCACGCGGGCTGGCTTGTGACGCGGTACGGCGTCAAGCAGGACGGNNAGGCTAAGGGGCCGGAGTTACAAGGGTGAGGTTGCTGAGTTCGGGGAGGTTGTGCTTTATAAGATTTCGAACCAGAGTCTTAGGAAGCTAGAAGACCGTTGGTCGTGTGGGGTTTGGCTGGGAAAGAGCCTCAGCAACGACGAGCACTTTGTTGCAACGGCAGACGGCATTCAGAGATGCCGGTCCATCCGCCGACGGGTGGAGAAGAAGCGTTTTGAGAGGGACTACCTGGACAAGATGGCGGGCACCCCGTGGCAGCCGCGTGGCGTGCCAGAGAGAACGCCATTGGCGCCCGGAAGGCCCCTACCACAGGGGCGGTTGGAAGGCAATGTGCCAAAGCCTAAGGGCGTGTACATCACGGCCGAAAGGCTGATCAAGTACGGTCGGACCGAGGGCTGCCCAGGCTGCGACGTTCCTTACGGAGAAGCGCCGGGCAGACACAGCCCTGAGTGCCGCGCAAGGTTTACGGATCTTGTTGCGAAGGAGCAGGAGGTGGCGCCCAAGGGGGCGGCAACGGGTGATGGAGGGGATGTTCCGATGGATGCTGGTGCAGGCTCCTCGGAAGCACAAGCTGGTGGTAGAGAACCTTCTCGCCCCAGCGCAGAAACCCCAAGAAGGGTTACGGGCAAGCGTGAAGGCGCCTCTTCGGATGGTAGCCGGCCCAAAGAGGNNGAAAGCTCTGGCGAACCCCCTTCGAGCCCAAGGACTCCCAGCAGGAAGCGAGAGGCAGATGGCCCCGCACCGCAGGGAGACGATGATGGTGAAGTCATCGCGGGTCTGCCAACTCTTCACGAGTGGCCGGTGGAGCCCGACCTCCTAGCCACCACGGTCGTGGCCGCAGCGTACGACGAAAGAACAGGTGAGCTTCTTGACGAGGAGCAGGTGGCACAAGGAAGAGCAAAGGAGAAGGGACAGATGGAGACCTTCAACGTGAAGAGTGACATCAGCTACCAGGAGGCTAGGAGCAAGGGCCTCAGGCTGGTGAAGTCGCGGTGGGTCGACACCGCCAAGGAGATCAACGGCAAGCCTGGTGTGAGGAGCAGGCTTGTGGCCCAGGAGGTGAACACCTACAAACGGGAGGATGTGTCAATGGGCACTCCCCCTTTGAGGGTGCATCGTGCGGTGATTTCGCATGCCGCCACCGCGAAGCCAGGACAGAAGGTGAGCAAGAAGCTGGTGGCGAGGTATGATGTGAGCGTGGCATTTTTCCACGCCGAGAACAGTGAGCGGATCGGTGTGATACCACCGGCCTCGGAAGGCACTCCCGATGTGATTTGGGAGCTTCACAAGGCCATGAATGGAACGCGCGAGGCGTCCCGACAGTGGGGCGAGAAGATCAGAAAGGTGAAGAAGGACAGCGAGTATGATGAGCTACTCCTGTGCCCCAACACCTACTACTACAGTGCCGGTGACGTGGCACTCTCATGCCACGGAGATGATTTCTTGGCGAGTGGGGAAGCGAGTGAGCTTGACCGCCTAGATGAGATCATGAAGAAGAACTACGAGGTGAAGGTGCTGCCTCGGATCGGAGACCCGAACCATGGAGGGGAGACTACAACAGGTAGGCACCTGGGTCGTGTGATCACGTGGACAGGCTCTGGGTTCACCTGGGAGGCGGACCCGAAGTACTCTGAACAGGTTGTGGAGGAGCTGAACCTCAAGGGTTGCAAGGGCGTAGACACGCCGTCTTCGAAGGCCACTGGAGCCGGGAACCGGTTTGCGGACAAAGAGCTGGACCAGGAGAGAGCGGAGGTTTTCCGCCGAGTGGCGGGCATCATCCTTTATATGTCGGTGGACCGACCTTCGCTGCAGTTTGCGGCGAGTGAGCTGGCAGAAGGAATGNNCCGCTTGAGATCCATTGGCTTCGGCTCAAAAGAGTCGGGAGATACATTGTCTCCTACCCGGTTGAGCGGTGGCACTTTGAACTCCAGACCGCGCCCAGCGTCCTTGAGTCCTTTTCAGACTCCGATTG